TTGGATTCATGGAAGCCATGGCCGGGACAGGTGAAGCACTGAGCGGTAATGCTTCAGTTTTTGTGCTTTCCTGACCAGCTCCTTCATTGTCAGTATTATTGGGAGAAACAGGACCATTCTTCCCTTTGTTCTTCTTCTTATTCTTCTTCTTATTTTGGCCGCCAGCGTCCTCAGCTTTATCATTGTTGTCACTCCCTGGACCTTTCTGGTCATCTTCCTTAACAGAGGGTGGTTCAATATTTTTCTGGTCTGATGGCTCTTTCTCTTTCTCTTTACCACCACCTTTGGATTTTGCAGACTTGTTTTCTTTCTTGTCGACCTTTTCTTGAGGCAAAAGCTCGGCCAGCTTGCCTGATCTTAAGAGCTTCTTTACGAGAGTCTCACCCTCCACGTTCCCTGTCACTCTCACCTTGTGCTGCTGAGAATCAATTTCCGTCGTATAAACCCCTGTAATTAAACAAATGTGACACGCACACACACACACACGTGTGTGTGTATCCACATTAATTGAGTTGTGAAGGAAACACAGAGACATTATATAGAATGAAGAGATATGCAGATAGATAAGTACCATCGATCCCCTGAAGAACTTTCTTGACCTTCTTCTTGCATCCTTCGCAGTGGATTAAGACTTTCAATACCCACGTCTGCATAAAGAAGCAAGAATAAGTTATCAACCAGCTATTAGAGAGAGATATTCATATGAATGTTATAAAGGTTTGAGAGTAAGATGTGTGTGTGAGAGTACCTTATACTTCAACGTTTCTGCAGGAGGGTGAGCATCTTCAACTGGTTTGGCTGCCATATTGGGCGTTAGGTTGGTAGAACAGGAATGGGAAGTAGCGGATCAGAGGAAAATTTGAGCGTGTGTTGGTTGATGGCAAGGAAGATGAAGTGAAGGGGGAGACTTATAAGTAAAAGAGAAGCATTTGACTATTGAAGCATTTGACGTGGATACCACGTCATCATACGATCCTAGTATCTTACTAACAGACCAAAACAACCATCGTGCTTATGATGACACCACTGGAAGATTATTAGGGAGCTTCTTCAAATGTTTGATTGGCATTCCAACTCATATGCGACCCATGTGGGGTAAGAAACACCCTAAACGAGGGCTGCTTCCTGTTGTATTTTTTCAACCACAGACCATTCTGATTATTTTCCTGTTCTAAATTCCTAATTCCCACCAGAAAAAAAAAAACGACTTTCTTTTCTTTTCTTTCTTCCTTTCTTTTTTTTTTTTTTCCCAGATAACTGCTCACTTTTCGATTTTTAGTGAAAGACAGAGGTGGGGTCAAGAAAGTCCTTTGCATAAACTTTTGTGGCATGTGGTGCAGCTTAATCTGTCAGATCAGACGGTTTTAAGAGCATCATCACTTTTGGTGCCACTCAATTTTGCCTCTGGTACATCGGTCCTCCCTGCCCTGGGGACCCCTGACCACCACCCGTGGACTGACCAGAAGCTTCATCTAATTAATCTGAATTTAAGATTACAATTCACCTAAACAAAGATCAAGAATATAACAATGGTAATTAGCCAAGAAGGATCAGATATAATTGATGATGCAATGTATTTGTCAAATACATGACACCCATTAATCAGTGAAGGAGGAGGTGTGATACTCTATAACCGGAGGCAGTGGTGTATTCAAAAAGCCAATGATCAAAACTGTACCTATTGTTCATATGATGAGCAGAATTTAGCTTTACCGTGGTACTTGGCTGGTGAGTTAGGGTTGTTTGTATTGCAGAAGCATCTTAAGTGCCACTACTCAGTACTAATAAAAGCAGCTTTATACTGTCCAGAATTTTCAAATCTTATTGATGGCTCTTCCTAATGGCCTTGAAGACTCCCCCCCCCCCCTCCCAAGTCCCATTTTACCATCTTAACAGGTCCCTAACTGTTTAGTTTCAACTCAACGCAGAAACTCACGTAGTTTTTCCTAGTCCCCACCTAACTCCAGTGAAACTCATTCATTCCACACAAGTCTTCACAAAAGTGGTCACTGGTTGGTTCGTGCAACAATTGGCTTTAGTTATGTATATTTGGTTTGCATAAAATAATTACAATATTTAATGAAACAGATGTGCACATGGTACCAATCTAACATTTTATGCTTATCCGAGTATCATCAAACGGCACAAAGAGTTTAATTTTTTCAGCTTCTATAAGCTTGAATGGTAAGGTGTGTAGGTCCCAGAGTTGCATGTCTTTCTCATATAAAGGAAAATCAGGTCATGCTAGAGTCTCTTTTCCAAGGAAAGCCTAGAGTAAAGAATGAACAATTTAATCTGCTATCTAGATTCATGGCGAAATGATAAAGCAGTTCAATTTTAAAATACTTCCCACTGCAGACGAAACCATGATCCGAAGCAAACTGTTAGTGGTTGGTTTATGCATGCCAGTTGTATATCGCTTTATAGAAAGAGGAGTGGAAGTTGAGATGCATGAAACGATAGACTAAAAGTGAAGATAACATTGAAACGTCACTAAAAGCGAAACTATCGATTGCTGGAGATGGAGTTTGATCCAAAATGCAGCCTTTTGGCAAATGGCATGTAAGTATGTAGTATCCAACATCAGCAAAAAGAATCGATGTGAATTTAGTATGGGACTATAACTGACACTCGTTGATTTCCCATTAATCGTTTCGACAACCTTAAATTAAGTAGGAAAGGGACTAGTGACAGCAATTACAGTTGTATTATTGGTTTCTATGTCTGATATTCTTTCCCATGGCAATAAAGCTAAAGATAATGGCTATCGCTATCAAAATCATTAAGTAGGCAAAAAGTCTGCCCTAGGATGATATGCGTGATGGCTAAACACAACCTTAATGCTTGACTTATTAGACCACAAAGCACCAGACTTTCAACAAGATCTGGAATTATGGATCAAATATCTGATAAAATATGCATTATAGAAATCACAACATAATAAAGCTGTCATGACATAAGCCTTCCATAATTTTCACCCCACTAGGCTAAGTGAGTTCTATCAGAGTCTGATGTCTGAGCAACCAGAGAGCAGCAAATTTTCAAGCACGTAAAGATTGAAAACGATACTTATTTTTACAGTACCTATATACAAAAATGACAAATGAATATGTGAAACAAGAAATTTTTGTCATATGTGGTAATGAATTGATCAAGAAGGCAAATGACAGATATGCATTATTACAGATAAACCTCCAAACTCTGTTTCAGTTTACAGCAGTACTGTAGCTCATGTTAGCCGAGTAATAATGGCATAACTACCCTACCAACAAATCTGAAATTGAGTATTAATACTGGCTTAGTTGTAAGATCGGATCAGTACGAATGGAATCTGATATGTTAATTTGCAGGTACACTTGGTAGATACATAATCTCAGAAAGAACATTTATTGATATTGGTTACAGTTCAATCTGGGAAGTGAAAAGGGAAAAAGTAAGCACAGGTTTGAAGATTAACTGTAATGTGGGGTTGGTCCTTAATGAATTTAAAGAACTTAGACCAAGCTGGTATGGCTGCAATACATGTATTGTGGAAGAAACTCTCTCCAGTGGTATGGTCCGTGTAATTGGACGGAACTAAAAAGGATAGACGAGCCTCGCCTGTGAAACAAAATCTGACAGTGTCTCTCTGTTTCTAGTTGCATTACGATCGTTCTGTGTTATCCTTCCTTGCTCTGCCCTCTGCATTTCAAAAGGCTTGTTGCTTCCTAATTCTTACCACTACGTGACAAAAGTTAACAGTGATGTAATTATTTGGTGCTTGAATGATTGATTTCGTAAAAGACGAAACTTTAGTCTTCAAAAACTAATAAATGCTTCATACTTTTTGTCACGGATTAATCCGACTCATCTTATAAACTAGTTATTGCTTTTTGGTGACTACATTTTTCATGGTTAATATTTTAAGAAAAAAGATAATCAACCTTAGTTCGTTCTCGTTTATTCAAAATGATAATATATCATACTTTCTAGTTTCTTCGGTCCTGCATTTTGGGAAGCTATAATAATATTGCATAATAACTAGCTCCTACTCGCCTGTGCAACATACAGGCAATAGTCCATTACAAGGTACTACCTCCGATCTTTAATATAAGATTCTGGTGATTTTTATTTTGTTCTAATTATAAGACTTCGATCCACTTTGTTTTTCATATTTATGTTTTTTTTTAAGATAGTCCTTCTAATAATGATAGTTTTAGCTAATATACTTGATTAGTAAGGATATTTTAGGAAAGATAAGACCTATTTATTACAAATAATTATTTAATTTATTTCTTTAGTGTTCTCGAATTAATCAACTAGCTCTTATAATTAGGATCAGAGGTAGTATAATCCAATGAAAGCTAAACATGGTAGCAGATATATCTTGACCAACCACAACTAATATCTAGGTTTCTAAATATCTTTTATAAACAACATTTGTTGTAGTTCTCTCTGACCAACTATCTTTATCATCATCAACAACATTCAGTCCATACTTTTTACTCAGGATAATGCAACACGCAGTTGTTCATGTATGAAATCAGGCTTAAATAAATATAGTTTGACATAATGAGCCAGTAATGCATTCCTGTACAATTGCGTGAGCTAAATTATAACTTGACATAATATGTGATAAATAATTAAGCTAATAAATATGAGTAAATATCGAAATATATTCATCCCTTCCATGACTTGGCTTCTATTACTAATTTGATAATGGTCAGACTAACAAGAAATATTGTGTTTCTTAACATGCTACTACCCCTGGTTTTTAATAAAAGAATTGATTTGACATTTTTATTCTAAATTTAAGATCCTAATATATTTTTTTCTCTCATATTTTTTTTTAAAGTAATTCTTATAGTAACTGTACATATTAAGTGTTTCATCAAATAATAGTTCTAGCTAATACATATGATTAGTAAAAATATTTTAAGAAAGATAACACCTATTTATTATTAACAACTAACTTAATTAATTTTCTTAATATACTCAAATTAATTAATTCACTTTATTCGTTTATCTAATCAATTTCCTACCGTAGTCGTAGATATATTCATTGACGAACGAAAAAAAAAAAATCCAACTGCGAAATACGGATCTCAAAACTTTCTCCTCAAGTTTAATTTATCACGTGGTGGAACACTCAAGACGCAGTTTGGGCCAGACTTCTAACGAATCGGGCGACGAAGAATTACGAAGTGGGCTGGGCCTAAGAACTCGAAAAAGGAGAGATTTCAAACTTCATATATAATATTGGGATTTCTACATTTGCTCATTAAATCACACCATCATAGACCCACCCGAAGCACCACAAAAGTTGAAGCAGAACATGTAAAATGAGCGATTCAAAGCTCATTTTTTTGGGGCAAAATAATTTCTGACAAGTTTTAAAACAAGAAGGAAATCTGTCTTAAAGTTGAATCTAGTAGTAATAACTAACAACGGAAGCCCTTTCAAGTAAATTCAGTTCATCATGGTCTCACTTCTGACCAAAAGTCAAACCATCCACAAGTTTCTGGAAAGAAGGCCTGGAAGAGATGTCCTCCCACCAGGCCTTCACATGTGGGCGATCATTAATCATGTAAGCACAGGGCGTCTTCATGAAATAGTGAGTGCTGGTCATTTGGTTTAGATCTGCGAGGCTGAAAAAATCCCCAGCAAGGTACTTGGTTTTGCTCAGCCTCTCCTCGTACACGTCAAGAACATTCTTCAACTTCTCCACGCTGGCGTCGATCACAGATTGGTTGGGTTCTTTGTCTTGAAAAGGAGACACTAGATATTCGAATATGATTGGTGAGATTGCTGGGTCGTAGGTTTGGGACTCTACCTCCGCCCACATCCTAACCAACGCTGCTTCTTTTGGGTCACTCTTCCTTATCAGATCAGGTCCTGTTTCTTTGTATTTCTCAGCCAGGTACGCTGTTATAGCTCTGGATTCTGCGTGTTGTACATAGAGCCATTATGCCAAAGACATTATAGTTACTTGATATCATCAATCTGAAGCCATGCAGGCAGAAAAAGAAGGGAAGAAGAAACATACCAAAGAGAGTGAGGTCGTCGTCTTCAAGAGCTGGGATCAGACCGAAGGGCTGCCAGAAATTAAATAAAATGAGTATTCGAGTAAGGATATGCTAATATAATTAATAATAGATGACAAGTGATTGTGCATAGGGAGTGGTTGTTATACACACACACACACATATATACGTACATTCTTGGAGAGAAAAGGAGGGAGCTTGTGTTCTCCGGCGAAGACATCGACGGGAACAAGCTCAAACTCGACGTCTTTCTCATGGAGGCACACCATGACTCGGCTGGTATTAGTGGACATTGCCAGGCCGTGGAGCTTGATCCCCATTTTTTTTTTTTCCGCGGGGAAAAGAAGAAACAGAGATCAGTGAGAGAGATGATATATTAGTATACTAGGGCTGAAGTGGGAGGGAAAGATAGAGGAAGGGGCTTTTTATAAAGGGTAAACCAATATTGGTTGTGTTACTGTTTTGAGTGGCTTTCGCGTTTGGGTTAACCAAAACTTGCAATTTTTACTCTGCTGCCTATGCTACGGAAGACCTAGAATTTGTCGTTTACGCATGAGATACCAAAATTGTATTTTAGCCCCTTGCCTGAAATCAAGGCATGTCAGTCTGGAAAAAAATTTGACACTATACTGTCAGAAGTGGGGCCATTCCAAATTTGTTTGGGAGAATTACAATTCCAATTATTTTTTAAAATCTGATTATAATTTTCCCAATTTGTTTTCATTTACCCCTGCATTGCTAGCTCTTTTTAGTTTTTTTTTAAACTTTTTTCTGCCATTGCCTTTTTAATCTTTAATTTGAAGTGCGTCAAATTATTTTCTTTTTAGTCTTACTCATCCCATGAATGTTTTAAATTTTCAATTTTATTATCCTAACCTGATTGCTCTTGCTTAATTTCTAACGGTCTTAAATAGAAGTCACAAAGATATCGGAGAAATTAATAAACGTAGCAATCTTATTCGTTTCAACAGTCAGCATAGTTAAAGTGGTCTGGTTATTGAATGACTAAATTATACATTAATTAATTAATTAATTAATTAATCAACACTAATCTGTTATTGAGTTTTCCCAGACTGGGGAGGGAAATTAATGTGCGGTTTAGCCAGTGTTTGTGGTGTATGAGATAACAAGGGTGCTGCAGAAGGGATGGCCTGGCTGTTAGTCAGATGTGCACACGTTAGAAAATGGGCAACTTGTTATAACCCCAGCAGAAGCTGAAGCTGATCAGATTATATGATATCATAATCCTGCACTAAAAACGTAACAGTGGTATTCTTTAATTATATCATTGGAAAAATAAATGATGGTTTTGAAGTTGAAGCTGATCGTATACATATGATATCACAGAATACCTAAAGAAACTAGATAACAAATAAATAATGATGCGATCCAGTCAAACACAGTTTTCAGAGCATAATTTAGAAATCAAATCACACGGCAGCATTATCAAGAGATTCCCCTCTTCACCTTTCAGAGAACAATTCAGCATTTTCCCCCCTTTTGGGGTATGGGATGACAACTAACGAGTAGTAATAAACACTGAACTAAAATTAAACACCCATGACTGATTCAGTTTGACCGCTTGATTTGGACCTTGACATAACCAAGACTTCAGCCACAGGAATATTAAGCAATAATAACGTGATCATCAATAGCCTGCTGCATTTCAATGATTTACATTTTCCACCTCCTAAAAAAGTGGTTCCTAAACTCAAAAAGACCATTGCCTTATCTTATCCACAGTATTGAATATCTACAGAATTAAATAACCAATCAAGCTGTAATTACAACGGAACAGGCCAGCCCTAATTTATACGCCAATCCTAAATGCGACTTCAAGTATTATATTGTAGCTATTTACATTTGTCGCAGAACTAACCCTAACTTTATAGGCTGAAATTTGAAAAATTAATATCCTCCAGGGTCCAGGCTGTCTCTGGTTTTATAAAGTCACGATATTTACAATGGAAGCTACAAGATCGAGGATTCAACCCTAACTTATAGGTATCCTTTGTTTAAATCTCCATGTACTTAAATGCGGCATCCAATAACATAATCAAGCAGAATTAACATTGAATTATCTTCCAGGCTTTTATCTCATCTAGTATCAGGAGGCTGTCTCTGGCTTTAAGAAGTTCTGATATTCCAGTTTATTCATCTCACCACCATGCACTGGGTCAAACTGACACCGGTAGAAGCTGCATAGAACCATTAACAGTACATAATTAACATCGATACAACATAAATTATGATATCTCAAGACTCAACGATTTCAAATATGGAGTAACCTAGGAAAACACTTCTGGATAAAAGAAGGAAATTTCTTTGGACGTGCTTAAGGTTCAGTGTAAATTAAAAGGAGAAAAATGATAACCATCTTCCAAATACATGTTACCAAAGTTCGAAACTCCAATTCACGAATGTAGAGTACATACTACATAACAACTTTAACCACAAAACCCATAGTATTTAAGATACTAGCAAGCTGGCCAACAGTCTACATAACATTCCATTCAAACATTTTTCTCAAACCATACCTCCCATCCATGCCAAGAATTATGACTGTATTCTTTTGCTGACCAAATGCGACAGTGTAACGAGTGCCCTCGCGTAAGCGAAACTGAGCAAGTGACCACTCCGAATTAAAATACTTGGGTAACACTCCTGAAAGGAGCAGATTAACAGAGTTTGTCAAGGAAAAAAGTAACAAACAATCATTTTCTTCACAACCACTCCAAATAACGTACATCAAGCGGTACAAGCGGATAGCACAATAATGGGAACCGTAATTCTCCCAGTGGTATTCAAACAACGCTCTGTCTGGAACAAACAAATGACCATTGACAAATAAAAGATATTTTTTTATTAAAAAAAAAGCGCCCAGGGTCTATATATGGCAGTCAAACTCAAAACGCAAAATAGCATGAAGTCACATGCAAAATGGTCATACATTCAATAAAATTAGCAAATCATGACAACTTAGCAACAATCCTAACAATAAATATTTAAATGGAACTTTGTTGTTGACGTCTCCACCCTCAACTGTAAACCAGGATCGAGTGCACATGCACAGGCTAAGGAAAAGACACAAGGCATTAGATTGAGGTTAGATAAGTTCTATCTGGAAAGCAACAGTAGATAATTTGTCACTTCATTCGATTTGAAATCTTCTGTTGCCAATATTGTAACCAGTCACCTTATTGATCATTCAAAAGTGACTGAAGAACACACCCTTGGGGTATATTTGGACCTTCATTGGAGACATCCAGAAATGCCTTCAGAGTGAGCATCCATTTTTAAGAATAATAATGGATTTTAATTGAAGGTATATAACATCAGAACTGCTTTCGCACACAAATCAGGGTCCCAAAAACCACTATTATTCAAGCACCAAAAGGTTGCTACCCCAATGTAATATCTCTGTCAACTATACAACTACAATGTCTTAGTAGCTATCCTCGTGCATTTTCATAAAGCTCGAGATGAGTCATATCGTTCATAGTTTGTAGACAGCTCAGCTTCCTATAACTACTATGATATATTGATGATTATTTCATTATTTGACAACAAAATGTTATTGCATCAAACAATACCCAGACAAAAACAATTTACTCACAGATTCACATAACAAAATAACATAAATCCGATTATTTCAAAAATCAATTCTTGAAAAGATGCTTCTCTATAAAATCTAAAATTTCACAGAATCTTCAACACAGCTCAATGACGATCAAAATTCTCAAATGGTGAATCAGGTGTCCTTTTTTTCTTTGAGTAATTTTTTAATTGGGAACCATATTGAACTCTTATATTTGCAAGTAGCCTGAGTATAGAAGAAGAAGAGACAAGCCTCGTATCTAAAATTCAGAATCTGGATGACTTCGCTTGCTTGCATGGCAAAAACGAATCAGTTTCAATCACACAGCAATCCAAATTGTAACTAGTAACATGAGAGCAACAACATTAATTCACAGGAACGACAAAGATTTTCTGCTTTCTTAGAATATATATGGATATATACAGGGTCAAATCAGGTTATGAAGGACCTGACACTGCTCAACTCACATGACTCTGACTATTCAGGTGTCCATCCATGATTCAACCACCGATTTGTATTGTGGCATCAACAAACTGAGTTATGTTATGCATTCCAAAATGTGTATCAGGCAATTTCCGTAACTATGTTATCCACGCAATTTATCAGTCCCCAAACATTCCAACGACACCACAGGCGCAGCAAACAGAAGTAATAGGTATAGTCATAATTTAACAAAATCGAACAATGCGCCTCAGTTATTAATAAAGTTACATGTCTATATACAATCACAGTAGACAAAAATAAATTGATGAGATATTTTACCTTTAAATTTAACTAATGCACGGGGTGAGCTAGATGGTGTGCTGGCAGCATGAGAATCAGTCGTCATCTGTGGATTTTCTTGCTGAGGAGAACTAGAGTTAGCCTTAAGGCTGAAAACATGGACAGTACCCTTATCACTCGAGACTGCCAGCCACTGAGCAGTAGAAGAGAACGCCAAACTATAGACCTCGGCCACATTTGCACCCCTTCTCACCTGATGTTAATATCCAATAAATTTGTTCAGTACTCAGTACCAAAACGGTTGAAATGCTTATAGTAAAGTTGTATAACAACATGACATGGAAAAACCATTGATTCTATGATTAAATCTATGAGAATAATCTACGATTAAAAAAATTTCCAAATTTCAAAAGACAATGTTCAACAAATCAAAACTAGATTAAAGGGTAAAGGTCTGAGCATAAGGAAAAGAGTTGAAGGCTATAGTTTGGCGTTATAAATGCCATAAAAATGAAGGAAACCCAATAAATTCCAGATTAGACCTAGACTGCGCAAAAGATATACTATGTTGATTCAGTGGCTTCTTTTTTCGGGCCATGCTGATTCAGCTTGGTCTAATATAAACCGGATCAATCCAACCCAAACCAAAAATCAAAATGACCCAATCAATTTTCACATCACATCCTAAAGTCCGATTAAGACCTATAGTGTTTTATTATTATCGGTTTAAATCAGTTTAATTTGTTTTTGCTTGACTGGTTTGCGTCCTTTTAGGACACCCCTAATTGTCACCGTCTCAATTAACGGGTTTGACCTCCAACACTTTACCCGAATATAAACGCTTGCCCCTAAAAAAAAAATTATATTGAAAAAAAAGAAGAAGGAACGTACTTCTTGAAGCAGCGTGCCACTGGCTGTATCAAAAATTCGAAGCAAAGTACCCTTAGTGCTGGCGGTGGCGAGTAACTGGCCATCAAGTGTAAGAGCGAAACAAGCTAT